CCCCTTCATACGCGACCCGACCCAAGTCTCCCATTTTTCTCGTTCCGCTGGAGCTATTTCGCTCTGTTTTACTAAATGACTACTTAGTGAAAAGGGAGCAAGGCTCGTTCCGAGAGACTCAATCAACATCGTCTTCAAAAAATTTACTGGATTCTCCGGCCGCTGGAGATAGCATTCGCGCAATGTAACAATAGGTAGAATTTTAAAGATTTTATTTTTTATAAATCAAAATGTCACGGTAAAAGGCGGCGTTCTCCCATCACAAGCAGTGTTTCTCACAAAAGATTACCCCTTTCTTGCACTGTATATAATTACAAAAATCATTTCCTGTTGTCAATCAACTAATTTGGTATGTCACACAATTGAAACACGTTAGGCCCAGTCCCCGACACAAAAAAGGAAACTATTTCTTTCCTTGATGTCTAACCTGGATTATTCTCTTTAGTGTTCTCCTCATCTTCAACTGTCAATTCTTCTTTGTCCTTAGCGTTATTCTCATCACGAGGGGTCTGGGTACTACTGTCTACCATTTCACCTTCGTCTGTCAATTAGAAAGAAAACCAGAGGTGAATATTAAAGTAGAACTTCTTTGAAAACTGTAGGATTATTCTGCAACAACCATTGAGCCGGCTAACTGTTTCGATATCGTCACTAAGGTGATGGCCAAAACAGCTGCAACTTCGTCGATTCTCATCAACATCTATTTTCCACTGGCAGTATGAGAACGCACGCAATATTTGTGCTCCTAAGTTTTAATTCTGCCGAAGCCGGTTTGATTTTAATGACCAAATGCATGATGTGTGGCATTCTCTAATCAATAAGGCATCTCTAAAGGCTAGCCTACACGTGTAGTCTTAATAAATAATGGGTGATGATAATAATAAAAAAAAACTTGAACTTGAAAAGAAATATTTTCATCTTAAAAAAAAAAAAATGTTATTGCTTTGACACGTGAATGCCCATTATAAGATCAGCAAAATATCAACCTTACACCGGTCAATGCATTTAGCACAAGCTTCACTTCCATGTAACTGTTTAAATGATAGAGATTCCTGTGGTGAAATTGTATGGTAGCACCTTCAAACTCATTCAAAACGGTCATTTATTTGCCTTACAATGTAACTGGTTCATCTCCTTACATATTTCTCTTTCAAATAAAAGTACCTCGCGAAGTAACATTTGAAGCCGTAAATTAACCACGGCTCTAGGCCAACCGTTGGCTATCTGCTGCATTGTTTTTAAACATTATCAATAAAAAACAACAACAACAACAACAACAACAACAACAAAACCTTAAATGTTCCAAAGATTGTCATATAAATTGTCGAAAGCCCGTTTAACTCCATAAATCCTTAAAAAAATCCGGACTCTTGCCTCTAGCCCTACCTGAATACCGTTTGATTTACTTACAAGATATTATTTCAACAAAGCCTCTTGTTGGAAATACTTTTATCGTGAAGGCACGTGTATCTGTGTTTAATACAGGGAAGATCAAAAATCAAATACGCTTTTCGATGGAGCGTCGTTAAACTAAAACCAAAGTCATCACAACGGTCAATCGAAAGAAAGGGAAATACGTGTAAAGGCCGATAACTCAATTTAAAAACGGCCATACTGCCTTAAGCGCGGGAAAACGCGGGTGATATAGTCATAATTGGTCTCAGTTTTACATCTGATTGGTTGAGAGACTGGCGCAAGTTTCTGGACCAGTCACAGAGCAAAGTAAAGCAAAACCAATGTAATCCCGCATTACTTTGGACCTTAAATTGAAAATTGCTCTTAATTGTAAATTACTTAAATGATTTTGCATGCCACGTAAGAGCTTTCGTTTAGAGGATGACTTTTCAATTTGTTCCTTACAGGCTTAGCCAAAGAGAGATTAGCACATCCGCTGTTTGAAATGTAATATAAAAGTTAATTCAAAATTCATCCTTCTTCAGTAAGATAACAGATAGATAAAAGAATTATATTTAACAAGTAATAACGATGCCATCGTTTGAATTATAGGCTGACTTTTTTCATGTTTTCATACAAGAGCTTATTTTACCTTACTTTTCATTTACAAATAACTTTAATTTATCAATAATAATTTAAACCTCTTAGCGCAATCGGAGTTCTTAGTTTACATTACAATCGCGCCTATTAGACATGGTCTGCCTAGATGCAACATGGAAAGTTCACTAAAATGCGCAGAAAGATAACACCTGGTACACGTAAAACAAGGAAGATCAAGCTGCATGTGTATCAAAAAATGAGAGGCTACATGTTAAGCGCTTTGTCCAACGCCATTGTTAAGCGTGAGAGAGCATTACATTGTTTCCCTGAACATGCGCATCGATATCCTCGATAAGCTCTTCGAACGTCTCGATATTTGATCCTCGCTTGTCGATCCTCAATTCTCGGTCCCCGACTCCAGATTCTCGAATCTCGATTTTCGATCTTCGATCCATGATTCTCGATCCTTGATTCCCGAAAGTTTTGGGATCGAGAATCGAGTTTCGAGTCGAGACTGTCATCAACGTACTTATGAGCGGACTACCGTATACCAGAGAGAAATAAATTACATCTAGGGTAAAACAATTTCTTAGCTAAATGACAATACAATCATGCTAACTTTTTTACCTTTTTCCTCGTCTCCATCCACTTGATCACCATCTGATTCAGGTTTTAGCTTAGTTATTATCACATCAAATGTCTCTCCTTGTTCTTCCTCTTCCTGCTCATTAGCTGTCTGCAAATTGAGAAACAGTCATACAGTGTATGCCCCAGATTCAAACAAAGCAATAATAAAAGTAACTGAAAAACAAGAAAAAAACTAAATTTACCTCAGTCATAAAAGTTTTAGATCTGTCGGCCTCATCATTAGCCTTAAGTTTCTTGGAATATCTGTGAGCTGATGCAACTTGACATCTGTAAAGCCAGAAATAATTACAAATTTACAACTGCCACCTTAATAAAATCCTTCCTCATATTGCAAAAATTTTGTTTGGGAAAGAGAAAATATTTCACAACAAGCAGTAACTGATGGCTAGTTTATTTATCTAATTATGTGATAGTTATGATTAGTTGGTAACAGGACTTCCTATTGTTCAACTCCGTCTGTAATCAATTACTCGTACATAATAAGTCGGATTCCCGTTTCGCAGTTGTCCAATTGTTAATTACGAGTGCGACTACAGACTGAATTGAACACCACTCAGTCCTATCACCATTACCAATAATAAAGGACAGAGTCAGAGCCAGAGAGAAGTGAATGCATGTAAACATTCATTATTGAAAGTTTACCTGTAACAGGGTGCAGCTCCCTCAACAACAACAAACTGAAAATGACCATTTCTACCACCCAAGACATGACCAGGTTTGTGTTTGTATTCACAACAACAGCTGAGTCGAATATCTTGCATGCCATCAATGTAAAATGTCAAACCAAAGGGGGAACCCCTGTGACGCCGTGAGATGAAGGTAAAAATCGCTGGAAAAAGGAAAAAAAGAAAGCATAAAAATATGCATTCAAACAGGAAAGAAATGAAATTGGGAGAAACTCATAAGTAAAAGTAATTCTTGTAAAGATTTTAAAATTAGGAGTATAAGACATCAGAAAAAAACAACAAAGACCAAAAAAAGAAAAAAAAGAACATGAATACACTGAAATAACTGTGAGACAATTGTTGAGGCAAGTTGGTTGACAACGATACAATTTCCACGAAGAAGTTCCATTTCAAAACTTTCATTCAAAATGTTATCTTTCACTGACAGTATACAGGTGTAATGTCATCACAAAAAAAAATCAAAAAAACAACAAAAAAAAAAAACAACAACAACAAAATAATTAACAACAACAACACAAAAACAAGCAAAAGGATATTAATAGAAGTTCTTGTTTGGGGTGTGACACCTCTTTAGATGTTCACATTCCTAAGGAACAAGTAATACTGCTTCTAACACAACTTACTGTTTGGAGGCAACAGTTCTCTGAAAACACACAAAGTGCTTCCTCCACAGTGCTGCTGCAGAACCATTACTTCCGATAATCTGTCTTCTGGAAACATGCTGTTGGTGAGCACCAGACTGGGACCAACAAACTTCATTGTCACTTCTGCCAAGGATTGAAGCTAAACAAAGAAACACGCACTAGTTAGGTTACATGTAGGTGTCTTTTTCTTTCTGACAGGGCTGCTAACCCTTCAACTCCTAGAAGTGATCAGCATGAAACTTCTCCCTATAATATCCTTACATTATCCAACAAACAGCTAATGATAATATTCAAACTTATCAGGTAGAAGTTGTTGTCTTGATCTAACACCAAAATTCTCATAAGTTATTCAAAAAGTATGTGTAGCAGCTAAAGGGGAGGACTACCAATCAGATCATGGGAGTTAAAGGGTTAAAATATCCATTCCTTATCGAAAGTAAAATGCATACATGGATCTCCCCAGTCAGCTAACAGTCAGAGATGTATCATTCCATAGCTTTACTTCATGTGTCTTCAGTGGTATACCCATTCAAAGAAGTAATTTTTGTGGGTTAAAATTTGATTACAAATATGGCATTGACAGGTACATCATATTTCCATGAATGCTACTTTTGTCTCACTAAACATTTGTAGATGAAGAAACAAAGTTGTGAAGAGAAAAAAAAACACAAAGGCAAAAGAGCCCATGGCCACTCCACAACTTGCTAAAAAAATTAAACCTCCACCGATTTGAAATTTTTAAACCAGAAAAAAAATGGCTTGAAACATTAGAATGCATTTCAATACCTGTACTCTGCGGGCAACTGCTGGTTCAGTTCTGGCCAAGAAATGATACTACAAAAGGGTGATAAATTAAAAGTACAATGATCATAACTATGTAGTATTAATTGCAAATAGAACACAAACTTAGGGTTAATCACAAGTTGTTAATTCTTCCACTCATATATGTGGCATTCAGTACTATCACTTTTCATCATGTGAATTATGTCACATAACTTTCCCATATCTATATATTTGTTGAAGTAAATTATGCTGTGTGTGTAATTCATGATTAAAGGACTGTCTCTGTTTTCAAGATGTTCTTCTTTTCAAGAACACAACAAACAATTTTGGTAATGGCAAGGTAATGTCAATCATCACCATTTGCTTTCTGACATACCCTTTGAAGCTTTACGCCTCTCCTTGTAGAGCCAGCAGTCCTGGAACGCCGTGGTGTTCCTGTTGGGGGAGGTGCTGGGGCTGGGTAAGTGGCAGGATATGCTCTGGTGTATGGAGATGGACCAAGTTCCTCTGTCTCATCTTTAAGATAGCCATTCATGGCGGATGGATTTGAATCAACCTTGCAACAAACAATACCAAATTGTAAGCACATCATTCGGTTCCACTATGTATATTATATAAGAAATATCTTAATTAGACAGTTTGGAGTAGGTTAAATCTATTGTGTATTTAATTTTTTTTTTCCAAAGTACATTGTGCTTCTATAAACACAGCTCACTTGATCTCTGTGTCATAGAAACAAGATGTATTTTCAAATAATAATAATAACAATAATAATAATCAACTTTATATTTCAAGGGTGACACTTGACAGTATAAAATTCTGATATACTCGTGGCCCTCAAAAACAAATTAAAAATGAACACAAATACATATAAATAATGAAGTGATTAAGACTAGGTAATTGAACAATTAAAATGAGAATTATCTATTAAGGATTAATAAAAAATATATGAGAATCAAATAGAATAGCCTATTGCAAGCTATAGTTAAGTGATGAACATCTTTATAGGACTCCAAAAAAATACTTATATAAAGACTTCTTTAAAATTTCTAAACTTGAGCTACTCTTAATTTCATTGGGAAGTGAATTCCAAAACCTAGTAGCTGATATTTGAAATACAGGATATCTCTCACTAATTTGACTTTCAAAACTTTACAGGAACAATTTACCTGATGGTATGATTTCACCCTAAATACAGATCTCAACATTAAATTAGGCATGTGAAAAAAACTCATTCTGCAAAATTTGCATACATCTGTTTTAAAACTGCTGGGTAACTGATAACTACTATATCAGCCATGAGAAAGTCTTAACCCCTATCATTTCTAATCAGACTTATACAAAGATTTTTAATTATGGATCATTCTGTACATGCGTCAAATGGATCATGTGGAAAAAATGGACTGATTTAGTGCATGCATCACATGATGAAAATTGTAATAATTTTGTCCTGTGCTATAAAACTGTAAATCTAAAACTCAAGAGACTTTCTAGCAGATCAAGATTGTTACCCTGTAGTATATTTTCTGGGTATCATTGTCATAATATATCTCTGAAGGTTTCAGATCTCCTTGGTCCTCTTCGTCACCGCCTGTCATTGAAGCTGGTGCTGTGGAAGGCCTGTCTCTCAGTTGTGCCTTAGCCATTTGCCGAGCTGTTCGCTCTCGAGGAGAAAGAAGAGGAAGAATATCCTCGTCACCTTTTCTATTTCTTCCCTCCTACAAATGAAGAAATAAATTAATAAATTATAAATACAGGTCTTGGAATTTTCATTGAGAGATTTAAAACTTTTTTCAAGAAACTTAGTATCATTTATAATTCATTTTGAAAAATTGTAGCTCAAAAGGATTAATAGGTAACCAAGTGATTGGCAATGAAAGCATACTGCTGAAGGCAAAAGAAGGCATCAACATTCTATCTTGACAAAAACATATATTATAAAATTCATTTCTGAAGACACTTTCGCTTTATTGCTGAGTATCTTGATCAACAAGGTATAGATTAACTCTTCAACTCTTAAGATCTGATTGCTAATTCTCCCGTCTAGATACTGCACTCTTTCTTGCAAATCAGTTGCAGGAATAATTGGTGTTAAATCAAGACAAAGAGTTCTACTTGATATGTGTAGATGTATACTCTCATGACCAGTTTGCTGGATAATGCATGGATACTATAGGAAAAAGTTACAAGTTTTAAAATCATCTCTGGGAATTAACATTAAAAGGCATGTCCTAATATTTGATGCATTTGACAGTGTTTTTCAGAATGCAGACACAAATTGATAGAGGAAAGACTTTGTGATTATTATGTTCATCAATAACTATTCCCAAAGTTGGATTTTTAGATGAATACATATATGCACAAGTAGAACAATTGTGTCAAGATAGTAGCCCATCCTAAAAAAAAAATTTGTTACTTTACATTAAATCAAATATTGATTAACTTCCTACAGTGACTGTAGCTTAAATAAGTTGTATTTAGCTTTGCTTTCTGTCAACGCTCTATGCACATTTCTATGAATTTGTAAAAAGCTTATTTTAATTAATTTCTTTTTAAGGAGCTACTGAGAAAACAGATATTTTTTTTTTAATCAACCATTTGGCAAGCTCTAATCTCAACCTTTTTTTAATGAACTCAGAAAAAAAAATTTAAGTTTACAGTATGTTACTATTTTAGAGAGCCTCTCACCTTTGACTTAGTTTCCACTGTCTTTTAAAGCAAAGAAGAAGAAGAAGAAGAAGAAGCACATAGTGAAGGAGTAAGAGAATAGGATTGGAAAAAGATTTAACTTTTTCTTAAGACAAGTGCAATTAGAGTACAGAATCAAGCAAGGTTTAGAGATATTGTGGTAATTGGTTTTATGTTGCTTAACAAGTATAGATAAATTAGTATTAATATTAATTCATGTCAAACATATCACCATGATAGTATACTCAGAACTATAATCATAGTATGTGATTATAATTCTGAGATGTTTTAATCAAAAGCAACAAATTAAAGCACTATTTGACAAGACATGATCCAAGTAGCACTCTACAAAGTTCAACCTTTACTAAAAAGAATTCATTAAAGCTACTACTTCTTCAACTTGAGGTGATTTTCAAATTCCAAATGCAAAAAAACCAGGAATGCATTTTATGATCATAAAAAAATTAAAAGAACAGTTATTCAACCAAGTGGAAGTGAATAGGCCAGGGTTATATTTACCTTGCTACTTTGCAGCTCGATAAATATGTACCACTTTCACTGACACTAAGGTGAATTATTGCAATTCAGAATAAACCACACAGATATATCAAAACATGTCAGTTTATTTCTTTCAATATGCTAAAAGATGGTTGGGAATTAAACTCATGACGTGCAATTTTGTCTCATGGGCTGCTAAGAGGTGAATAGTACTTGTTATTCACTTCTGAACTAGCCAATCAGCATGTGTGAAAATCACTTTTCACTTGTGTGGTATATACTAAGAATAATATTATACTTTTGAAAAAATGTGAATGAGCAATTCATTTCCTTAAAATCAAAACATTTGGCATGCCCTTTTTAATATCATATATCAATTTTTTTTAATATATGCTTTTTTTTTTTTAAATTTATTTTTGCAAATTCTTCATCATAATCACCTTCACTCTTCTGACCAACTCAACTTTGTATATTTCATCCAGTCTCTTTCTTATCTCATACTGACGAACCCTCTGCAAAGTGAAAAAAAAGTATAACATTCAACATATGCAAAAAAGTAAAAAACCCTTCACACTTATTGCAACCTAAAAATACTTTTATTAGCTGAAACCAAATCATTTCTTCTCCTTTGCAAACACCTAAGTTAAACCAGCACTGAATCAGAAGAAAAAACAAAAACTAGATATATCTTATCTGTTAATTGCCTCCTTATTACCCACAAATTATCTTATGTCACCTTGCCTGCAGTGTGGATGTCTTTAATTTGGGCAAGTTAACTTTATAAGCTCACAATTGTTTATCTAACCAGCCAATTGTTTGATTTGGAGTTAGAGTGGATGTTGGGGGAGGGAAAGGGCTAACAATCTTCACTCCCCCACCCCTCTCCTTATTTTTAACCATTGACTGCCCCCTTGCTACAAATTTATTTCTCTCCCAGCCTTCCACTGCCATTAAAATCAAAGATGGTGGCCATAATTTTTGTTTAGAGAATACTGAGCACTTGCTTGCCAAACTTATGTCTGCTCTGTAGGCTACATGTCACCCCACTGACTGTTTCATGACTATAATTGTGAAACAGGAATGTTTACCTCCATATCCAATGTCTTGTGCACAATAGCAGTTGCTAGGAGATCACGCACATGCTTCCTGTGTTCCTTCTTAGCCATGTTAAGTCTGTATGTCTTCTCATCAATTATCTTCCCCTTTCTGGTTACCTAATGGTACAGAAACACAAGGCCAAAATATATATTAAGGAGTCATATATTAGCAAAAAAAAAAGGGTCGTGAGGTACTCTATATAAACATGCCCCATCCACAACTTCATTTAGAAAATTAGCACCATACATGTCAGAAGGTATAAGGGACTGTACTTTAAAACCAAGTGGCCCATGTAGGCAGTCTGAGCTTATCCCAGTTCTTTTTACCCTTTAACTCCCATGAGTGACCAAGACAGAATTTCTCCTTACAATATCAACACAGTATCAAGCAAACAAGTGATGAGAATAAAGAAGAATATCAGTTAGGGGATTATTAGTTGATCCAATAACAAATTCTCCAAACTAACATTCCAAAAAAAAAAAAATATGGCAGACAGTAAGGAGAATAATGAGTGAGATCTTGGGAGTGAAATGGTTAAGCATGAAGTAACAGGGAGTATCAACACTCTCCCTAGCCAGCTTAACAAATGGGATATGCCAGTCCATTGCACTAGTAACACAAGGAGAAACATTATTATTGTCATATCTATAAGTATAGTTAAATGAAGGTTGTTTGTAATAGCTAGTTTAAACATTCAAATAATATATCCAAAAAGTAAGTTTTAACCATCATTGTCAAAAAAAAGATAAAATTTAAAGTATGTGTCAACTGACTTGACTGCAACAAACTTTAAAGTTCTCTATAAGCCTGTTGGGAAAAAAAAAAAAAAAGGAAACAGATCAATTGGTTTTTTTGGTTCTTACCAGTCCTGACTTTTGCAAGTGTTTCTTCATACGAGAGTTTGAAAAATATCCAGCCAGATGCTTGTCTTGCAAGCTGTTATAGGCAGCTAAAGGACTGGAAATAAAAACATCACACTATCAAGATCATTTCATTTAATGAACTATACAATTTGTTGACTGAGGTAAGATGTCATTCCTTCTTAAATCTCAACTTTCTATTCCCTTTTTTAAATTTATTTAATTTTTGTTTAAATCATTTACAGCCTAACATCAGAATGTAAAATATCCACACTGTTTGTTATACCTTCGTATAGTTCTTACAAAGAAAGTCCAACTAACTTTTAAGAGCTTCTTAAGTTCACATTCATTTCGTTTATTCTAACTTATGACCTTTAAGTTTGTTTTGGGTGATTACTGTTTGGAGAAATTAGATGCTCAATGAGGTTTAAGGTTTAATAACTAAACCATTGTCAGTAACTTCTAAGAGGGCTGAGTGACCATGTTTATTAACAAAATTTGACATTCTTGGGGTCCTTTTCTCTCTCTCACCCCTTTTTCTTGTTTTCTTGTTTTTGTTTTAACAGTTCACCCTCTGGAATACAAATTACAATGAAGGAGGAGGGTGGAAATTTCTAGAACAATTCTTTCAGATAATATGATTGTGCACATGAAGTGGTTCAAATTTTTGCCAGTTTAAGATTTTTGAAATCTGGCCATAAATCCGTGTTTTCTTTTATTGTAGATCATTGTTAAAAGTTAAAATCAAACTGATTTGACAAATTCTAACCAAATGACAACATTGATATTATCATACTATACCAAAACAACAATAAGGATTTAGCAATAATAATAAATAAAGATCAACACAGTGCATAATGTACAAAAAAGTGAGTTTAGGGATTAATTTTCAATTCATGTACTCAATTAGCTGAACCCAAATTATTGGTATGCAAACATTATTGTGAATGATCCATTTAGTCTTGTGTATAGATTCAACTTGAAATAAATATGGCTTAAAATTATGTCCCAACATGCAGGGAAAGCAAAACTCCTCACTCAAATCAAAATAACTATGCAACTGACTTGTGAATCTGACTAACATTTCATAGGGTGAAATAAATGTTACTTGAAGTCAGGAAAGATCAATTAAAATATTCCTTGAGGAAATTATGTCTTAAAATTATGTCCCAACATGCAGGGTAAGCAAAACTCATCATTCACAAATCAAAATAAATACTCAATGGACTTGTGAATCTGACTAACATTTATTTCATTGCGTGAAATAAACGCTGCTTGATACTTTTTTTTCAATTTTAGTGAGCACAGGAAACATCAATTAAAATATTCCTTGAGGAAACTATAATTTTTCGACAATAACATAAACCATCTTGCAATGTTAAAAGCAGAAAATTGCAAGTGAACATTGACTAATGATCAGAAGAGTGAAATATTACACAAACAAAGACAATTAAAATGGATGGAAGATTATAAAAGTTTTCACAACACCCTTGGCCTATACACACCGCATACCCTACGGCTCTTTACTGTGGCTCTATTAAGTGTGTTAGTTACATTCAAAGTTTGAGCATTAATTGCAAAATATACCACACAATTACATGAGTGAGCAATTAAGCGCATATATGCATTTGCAATAACAGGTATAGAAATTTGCCCACCAACAGTTTTAAAATCACCTCATTATATTATTCCGCAGCTGGAAGACTAAATTTGTTTTCTTTAGTTAGGTGAGAGTACTTCATTCGGCAAGGAAGATTCAGGAATTGATTGCAAAACACGCGTTTAAAAACAATGCCCTTAAAATTCATTTGGTGGCAACGACGATTTCTGTGATCGAAAGGATCACCAAGTTGCTATCAGTTAATCCATGATTAGCTTACGTTTGGTTATTACTTGACAGAAGCAAGAGCACATTGTAATCAAGACAAGCGGTGAATCATGAAAAGTCGCAACCTTAAGCTTCACGCTGCAAAAGCAGTGCGTTTAACCAACATGTTTTAAAAGACCTCAAGAAACTACGATCCTCGTCCGAGCAACAAAATTCAAGAATCACATCTGTGTAACTTTCTTTTTCATTATCCACCGAAAAACCCTGCTGTTATCAATAGATAATCCCCGTCAATCTCGGCCTACAATCTCAACTAATTCTACAAGTATTCGATTTCACAGCAACCCGAACTCGCTTCTCTGTCAAACAACACAGATGAGGTTGATCTTGACAAAACGAAAGAAAAATTAAATTTTTTCTACAAAATATAATTATACCAGGATGTAGAGGCTTTCATAAACTCACCCTGGATCTGCGTGACTCATGATTGCCGAGTAGGTTCTTTAACACAACCTTGTAATCAGAGAACTTAGTCAGCGATGATCGGTTCGGAAATGGCGTCGTTTTCACGCGTTTTCTTTCCTTTCCCGCGCTACCTTCCTCTTTGTCAACTACGAGAAATTTTACGATCCATCGAAGTAGAAGTGGAAGCCATAGAGACCACAGTGTTTATATAGTATCCTATTCAGAAAGTAGAGCTCGCGGTAAGCGATACCTACTCTAAGATAAATTCAATGCAGCCCGGTTGCCAAGGAGCGTTTGTGTCGCTAACACACAGGTGACGTCACTTCTCTCCAGGTCCCTGTGTGTGTGCTCAGCGGCCGAGTGTTCCCCAGTATCCCTCTAATAAATGTTAGTTGAAACACGTTCAAGTAAGACTCCTTGATACTTAAAAGGTAATTAATAAATGTGATGTTTTAAAAATCTGCTCTACACGAAACGGTGGTGGAATGAGAAACCACACTGCAAAATTACGGTGTAAGAATTAAGTTCCACATTTCATTTCAACTTCTAAAAAGCCATTGGCAAGACATGACGTGGAGATGGAGAGACTAAGCAAGAAAATATAACGGGGGAGAAACTTGTAGTTATTTGGAGAAGGAAAGAAAACAAATTGAAAAAAAAAGGAAATTCAAACTTAAATAATGAGAACGTTCCTTTGGGCTTCAAAACTTGATGGATAGAGTCATCTGCCTTTTCCAAATAAAGCCATAATTCTCTTAATTGATCCGCTTTCGTTTCGTTTAACATGTGTGTATGTGTTCCTAGCCTTCTAGCCAGCGTAATTTTGTCAAGCAAGTGCTCAAAAGTTTCTTGCTTAAATTATAGCCGGCATCTGTGATTGATTTTCACCACGGCAGAAGTGACAGCAGAAACGAAGGAAGAGTGGGATGGGGTGAGAAGGTATTGGAGGAGCCCCTTGAATAAAACGCTGCAAGATCATGTAAATGGTGTTGGAAGTGTTTAAGAGTCCTACGATAGCGGGATTAATTTCAACTAAAACAATTGATGCTATTAGTTTAAGATTTCCATCGAACAAGAGCAAAAGTGATTGTTTCAACTGCTTTAATCTGAGATGGTTTTCATGTAACTGGTTAGTCAAACAGTCCGAATCCCATGTCATCATCACTTTCTTCTTCTTCTTCTTCCTCTTTCTTCTCCTCTTTGGCCTCCTCAGCAGGAGCAGCAGCAGCAGCTGCATCCGCGGCAGGTGCCAAAGATGCAAATGCTTCTGGATTCTCCAGGAAAGCTTTGAGCTAAACAAAAACAAACCAAAATAAATACCGTCTTTGCTCATGCCACTATTGAAAAAATGCTGCCCTCAGTCAAATGCTGCAAAACTACCTGTAATTCCCTCAAACTTAAATAAATGCAACACCAATGCAGCATTTTCTTAGGAATATAAGAAAATAAAACATCCCAAACTGTACAATGTAGTTGTGTATAAACTTATTAAAAAATCAAAAAGAAATCGACAAAAAGTGCAAAGTACTAGAAGAAATTTATATCTTACAATACTTACAAATAATTTGCCTTTACTAAGTGACATATGAAATACAATTTTGATAAAAAGGCCACAATTGAATAAATTCAGCAACTAAACTGAATTTAAGGCTTCAACCCTGCATCCTTGGACAAGGATCATTTGCACTTGCACAAAAATATTAAGACTGAATAATGTCCAAAAACAGTTGTGCACATTTATTTTGAAATCACAGAGTTCTAGAAATTTTTACCTGCTCAACTTGTGGGAATGTGATCGCAGTTTCCACAGCAACAGCAGCAATATTCTGAGGGGGAAAACAAGGAAGAAAACAAACATGATAAGGCAGTTTTCAGAATATCCTTTTGGTTTATGAAGTTTAATCAACTGACTAAAAAATTGGTGTTAATACAATATTAAAATGAATGATCATAAATAACATTATTACACCTGATCACTGTCATAGGTTAAGCCAAAAGAAAACTACTTTAAAACCCTCTGCTCTCTGTTCAACTCTTTATTGGATTTTTCTCAATGATTCTAATGAGGGTTCCAAGCTCAGCTTTCTTTAAAAGTCCCCCTTTCTGCCTATTGCAACACCGATCAGGAGAGCTGCAGCTTGGATCCCGTACCATTAGGGCGTCATTGATCACCTGTGATAAACTGGCTCATGATTCATTAATTTTGTAGAAAACTTACCTTGAAGCCATTGATGATTGAATGTGGAACAGATGCTACTGTTGGGTAGCCAATTTCAAGTGAAACTGATGCAACATTCACAATACCCTGAAAAGTAATAAAATTTTGATTTACACAAAATCAATTTTAAATCTCGTAAATTTTAAATTTTGTGTGACATCTTTTTCTGATTTCCTGGTGGGACATACCTCAACAAAACGAGACAAGATATCTTCAGACGTAATATCCAGCACATCAGGTGAGAAACAAGCTCCACTTTCATACACTGAAAAAAAAAATCATAAATAACATCACAAGTCAATGCAAAAAGAGCTGTTAATGAGTAATAACTTATTCTACTCGTCTCAAAAATGGGAACTGGCTGCTTCACAAATATTTCTTTGGATAGTAATTCAATATTTTATCAACCAAAAGGTAAAAGCAACATGCTTAGAGATGCAGACTAGTGGGAAGTTTCGGCTAAAAAGCGGCCATTGATGACTACTCAACAACACATCTTTCTATTGAAATAACTCATAGTATATTATCGTGTCCATTGCATCATTTGCACATAAATTTATTTTTTAAGGCTGCCAGATTGGAGCACTCGCTATTGAAGAACTCAACCATGCATGACTGTTAAAAACATATAATGTTTTCTGAAATATTAATATTACTTGTTAAATATCTCTTTTGAGACAGATTATTGAACGTGAAGCACACAACAAAGATGAGATTTCTTTTTGTATGTGTTTAGGGAAGTTCACAAAGGCTCTCAGATAGTTTTTAAGTTTCATTTGTATAAGATTATTTCCAAGTACACTACAATTATTGTAGTGTACTTGGAAATCTGAGGATTAACTAAGAAGTCTTTATATATAAATTGTACCCCTACCTTGCTGGATGACAAGACCATACGAGAATGGAGAGATCTTCAACATGTTCAACAGGGTGGACTCTGATGCTCCCACTTTTTCACTCTTCTTGATCAGATGTACATCATTCTAAACATAACAGACAGCAGAAACATTTCAGTGTTAGAGCAAACCAATACCTTCCACTTCTCTTAAAATGGAAAATATTTCGATCCTTGATACATGACCCAATGAAAGTTTTGGAATGAAAGAGTTTAACAAACAAAAAAATTGGAATGTTCATGCCCAGTGTATCAATGCATAAACCTACAGCTCAATTTGGGTTCTGAAACTATAATGAAAGAGTGTACATGCTATCAACAGGTGCAGGATTAAGAGAAAGAGAGTTAACTCTAAAAAATATAAATAAATACCCTAATAACAATAATAATAATAATAGTAATAATAATAATAATATTTACAGATGGATATAGAACAAAAACGAATCGTGCTTTATGTACAGGAATAAATGTTAACTCCAACGAACCTGCACAGCTAAAACAAAATAAGGGTTCACTGATAAAATCATCAGTATAAAAAGCAACAATTGAGAATTCAAAATTTCAAATACTTATGAACAATAAATAGTCAAAAAGTCAATATTTACAAAGAGAATAATAATAATAAAAAAGGAACATCTAAAAGGATGCAAGTCTAAAATTCAATGAAAGTGGGATTTTTGTTGTTTGGATGTCACACAGGACTCTCTTAGTGGTCCTTGAGCCTTTTGAGAAAGATGTTTTTGCTCTAATCCACTGGATGGTCTTCACAATAGTAATAATAATAACAAAACAAACAGAGATTACTGACCAAGATTTCAATGGTTCCTCTGGCAATCTTGGTTGGAATGGCCAACGCCTGGAAAAATGATGTCTTCTCAGGACCCAGGCCAGTGTTTCCCTTTGGAACAAACACATCCAGAGGGGCAATTGCACCAGCTTTAGCTGGGGCTGCCACTTTGTTTGCCAGGATAAGATCTCGCACATCTGTGAGCTCTTCCTTGGTGAAGACAAAGCCTACATTGCCTTTGATGTGGGGGATCAACCTACATGGCGCAAATGCAACAGAATGTTAATATCACAGCAGTATGATCACCATCATAATCTGGGACAATGCAACAGAAATTTTCATACTATTTTTGAAAGATCAACACCGTAGCTAGTGAAAATGGCTTATCAAAACAACTTGGTACGCTTTAAAATAGGATTCATGAAGGTTTAAAAGGATGCAAACCAGCCATGTGAAATGTCATATTACTGTTAAAATCAGTTTAACAGAGTGTTACTTAAGATGTACCCCCTGTGCTTGTCTAACTTTTCAAGAAACCCAAGGAGAGAAACAAAATACATTGTTCCTCAGAGAACTTGTGACCTGCTTTGATGAGACTATCTCATGTTGCTCTTACTTTTCCAAGGCAGGATTGTTTTCCAAGTGTCCCCGGATGGCCTTCCTTATCATGGTGTTCTTGCCCATGAGAATTTCAGCTCTACCACGAAGAGACTGACGGATCTGCTGCATCTGTTTGGACCCTACATTGTCCACACCAACCAGAAACATCTTAGGAAATTCATCCATATATTGCTGTTGAGAAAAGTGCATTTACAATTATTAAGTAAGCTGTTTAAGTCTTTTCCTCAATAAGGGCTTTACACCAGTTTTTCACTTAATTCCCACACAAAATTAAATTTACCTCTTGAAAAGTAAAAGAAAGCAACATTAACCACAAAACTCATGTGATCCTGTAGGTAATTTCTTACCATGACAGAAAGCAATTTTCTTATTTACAGGGTCTAGGGCAAAATGTTTGAAAATCAAATGAGTCAAAAACTACAAAACATGGACATGAATTAGAGTTTTCTTTACATCCTGCATTCTAACATTCTTTGACACATTCAAAGTCTATGTTTTATAACCAAGACAAATTTCTATGAACTCCCTGAATGGTGATCATAACCAATACAATTTTCAAAACTGTGATGGGTGCATTAGCTGCTTTATTTTCTCGAATCATTCTGTATAGTTGTAATTAAACAGTGTAATTGTACAGGTAGCAGTTATTGAAACTTACAATTAGCCTCATAAAATAATTTGTCTTCCATGTTGCCTTGTCTTCCCTAACCATTTTGCTTGGTGAAGGATTGCGCAGAACAGCGTTTAAAGACTAGATCTAGTTTGGAAACAAAGTGAAATGAAGAAATTATGATTAATAACATGGTCAGCCTACTGTAATATATTAATAATTATTGGTATCACGTTAAAATACTGTGTACAAAGAAGAAAAAAAAGCAGGTTGCCACTTTTCTCTTCAGGGCTACTTATCACAACTTTTGGGTGGTATGATCATGAAATTAGAGTTAATCTACTTTTCTTCCCATCATAATTCGTTTATAGATGTAACATAAAAGCAATAGGCTTGATTTAAATGGTTTCGTGGAATTATCAGCCAACTTGGGATTTCGAAGGAACACTTGAAAAGATTGTTACCAGTACTAATACTACTCCTGACTCCCTTGACAGATTGTGGTTCAAGTAATCGAACCTTTCCTTTAACCAACTAATGTATCACATGCATTTGTCACGCTGTACAAAAGCCATGAAAATGCCGTCTATTGCTTAAATAGAAGAGCCTGGTCAACCAGCTTACTTCAGCTCAAGTTAACACACTCCTTAACTTCAGGTATGTTACACCTCTCTCGCGAACATTTTTCTCAGCTTTTCGAATGAAATGCCTTTATTCAAAGTGCAAGAGTGTTAACCTGATTGTGAAGAATATTTCTTTTTACCAATAACCTTGTTAATTGAATGAAACAAAGAGGACTTGGTGACTAAAAAACGACATTATATGCTTTTGCGAAATATAAAGATATTTTTTTGATACGCACGAATCCCATTTCGTAAAGGAGTGAATGTTCTTTTTTGCCCAATTTCTACTACTTTTACATTTTTTGGGGCTTCGACCATATGTACTGTGCGAATTTCGGAACTCTAAAGCACATGGTCAGACGCTTAGGCTACCATTAACTTCACGAATTTCCTTCAAGACTTACTTTCAGAACAACGTGAAAGAAAGAGAACTAAGCACGTGTCCAGCTGACATACCATAATTTTCAAAGTTACCCACAATGCTATACGATATCCGGATGCCTAGCCAACTTCGGCAATTTCCGTAGAGTCCTCGGCAGGTTCAAAATTGCAATCAAAAATACTTTTTAGATTAGAGCGTCTGTTCGCGCGGCATAGGAACAGAGTACATACATGAGCTTCGGTAAGTGAGCCGTTTTTATAGTAATAGCTGATGTGTGCGAGGACACCTAACGCTGATCTTTCTTTAAATTTTGAATACGCTCAGCGAGCGACTATGGAGTGAAATGCTTTCTCTGTTAAAATTCGTAATACTACCAAGGAAGGTATTCATGGCTGATGTCCTATAAGATGAAGACTTCAAACTCGCACGAAAGTGGATTGCTTAGTAATCGTGGAAAATTGGGATTTCAAGGATTATTTTAGTTTATGAATTAACTTTTTTCTACTTCTTACTATAATGTGCTAGTAATAAAAGCCCTCTTGTCAGTTGCGCAATTAGACGCTGTTACCACCACCCCACCCCCCAGTGCAGGAGTTCGTGCATATATATATATATATATATATATATATATATTTATTTATAGAAAAGTAAGACTGGAAAGTGAATTACGCTTCATAGACTTGGTTTTAAGACACGAACCTACATTCTGAACATGTATTGGACTGGGGACTTTTTTATTTACTTTTTTTAACTGATTTGAGTGAAGGAACAAAGAGAAATGCTTGTTATTCAAGATTTGAATTTTTTTAAAGCTTGATGATCCTTTCTTCCAGAAAATTAGCGCATTCAAAATGTGGAATATATGCACACAGCATAAGATGCTCAAGCAAGCAAAGAACCTAAGGAGAATTGCAAGGTTGATATCAAGAAGTGCACTTGGACCTGGGCCAGCTGGTCTCAATAATTTACAGGATAGACTATTTCAAGTCTACCCAGAGGTTGCTGAGGCAATTGTCAGTAAAAGGCCAGTTGTTGCATTAGAATCAACCATTATAACACATGGAATGCCTTATCCTGAAAATTTAAGGTATGTTAATGCTAACAAAACTCCCTTACTGTGAAGAAAAAAAGGGTTCATCAAGGGTGGTTGGGATCAACACCAGTATCTGAGCGACTGCACGCCTACTTCTGCCCTAACCCAACAAAGATCACCTGATAACAAGCTAGAACTAAAGATGGGTTAGGGGAGGGGCACTGAGGTATCCAGTTGCTCAGATACTGACATTGATCCGTTGGTTTTATAATAGCTTTGCCAATTCTTTATTTCAAGCAAATACCTTGCAGACTGTTGAGCATATAATTCCATTCACCCTTATGCTCAAAAGATCTCATTATAGATTCCCCATACCTGGCATTTTGTAGCCATATCTCATCATTTTAGGTCCAATAATATAATTTTTAATCAAAAAATAACCAAGATGATGCTTTTCTTCAATCTTGTTACCTCTCTGCTCAACACTGTATTGATATTGCCAATAGAAATAACCTATCAATCACTTTTGGGAGTTAATTGAGCAATCATTGATTAGTGCTCACCTCTGAGTAGAGAGGGAATGAAAATAGCTAATCAATTAGCTAGTCAATGTTAGTGTCACTCTTGGTGGGTTAATAATGATCTGAAAGTAAACACAAACTGTTTTCAAAATTGAACTTTTTTACATCCTCTGGTGCAAAATGATTGTCAAAACACAATTGGAGCCATCTGGGGTCATTCCACATTTTAGAGCATTCTATCATGATTCTAATAGATATTCTGTCTTATAGTCTGTGCTTTAGGATATTCTGTCTCTCTGGTTCACTGCCCTTGTGACTTTGTCAAATAGGGTCACCCCTCACTGTAGACTTTTCATCTTTCTGTGGAATCTCAATTAAAAGAAATTCATTATCTTTGAATTTTTTTCTACACAGAGTTGCCAAGGAAGTTGAAAAAATTGTGAAAAATAATGGAGCAATACCAGCTACTATAGCAGTTATTTCTGGCAAAATCCATGTAGGTGGGTGTGATCCCATATTTCATTTTGCCTTTTTTTTTCTTGAGGCATTGTTGGAAAAAAAATATAAGATTAGTATTCAAAGTCAATAGGAGCAGATGATAATTCAAGAATTTTATGTCAGTGATTACCAATGTGAACTCTTGTTTGCCTGAAAAAAACAGGGAAGAGTTAAGATTCCATTTGAGGTTACTGTTCAGTAAACCATTCAATTAATGTTTTACAAAAAAAATTGAAAAGAAGAAAAAATTGTCCATAGGTTTGTCAGAAGCAAACTTAGAGAGGTTAGCTCAGGATACTGATGCTGTAAAGACATCCAGGAGAGATTTGCCCTATGTTATCAGCAAGGTGATGTATATATTTCAATTTTTCATTATTTTATTTTCAACTACGGTTCTTAATAAATTTTCCACTGAGGATCTTTCCTGAGATCTGGGGGTAATATCTATTTTGAATCTGAGAATACATGAATTGACAAGTCTCTTCTTAGCAGACTAGTAATCGTTGTCTGGTGGCAGTCTGTGTTCTGAGTTAGCATTATAATGAAGTTAGAAGATATTACCCTTTACTTATAAGTATAAATGGCTAAATTACAGTAGCATTATGTTAAGATTACTCTAGTGTTACTTTGCACATCTCTCCTGCTCTTTTAAATTTGCTAATAATGACTAAAATTTACTCTGAAGGGCAAAGAATTTGTTCTCTGAGAGTTTGGAATGATTGTTAAAGTAATTGTGTTTATATTACATTGGGGAAGCCTTAAAATTTCCTCTGAGGATTGACAGCTTGAATGCAAATAAAAACTGTAATTTCTTGTCATGCAGGGTCTAACTGGAGGAACCACAGTATCAAGTACTATGATTGCTGCAAATGCCACAGGTATCCCAGTCTTTGTTACGGGAGGAATTGGTGGTGTTCATAGAGGAGCACAATCAAGTAAGTTCAATCACTTAATTGTTAATGACATTTGTTTAACTTAGACAGCCAATTAAAATACAATCTTGATTTTTTTCTGCCAATACTGGGATTGATTGCTGAATTTTATGACTGACATTGTAAACTTAGATGTTTTTTTTTTTCCAACGTTACAAATTCTCTTGTGCTCTTTTGAGTGGGTACATTCCAGATTTTAGTCATTCAGACATTATAAAACTCCCTAGTCCTCTGAAATACATCGTAATAATAGATAATACATTGATAAGTAATTTTGATGTTAATTCATCTCCCCTTGAGCAGCATTTGATATCAGCGCAGACCTTACTGAGCTTGGTAAAACCCCAATGGCAGTTGTTTGTGCTGGAGCTAAATCTATTCTGGACATTGAATTGACTCTTGAGTATTTGGTAAGTGCATTGGAATTAAGTTATGTGTAATAATGAGCAGCAGTTAACAATTATTGACCTGGGTGGAGATAAATATATCCAGCAATTTCACCAAATACTGGTGTAAATAATATTTCTTTCTCTATATGCCACACAAGAATCAAGTAATACGTTTGTTTCTGTCAATGTACTTGAAAATGGTTGAAAATTAAACTCTTGCCCTACATTACTGCTTGGAGGTGAATAGCACATGCCAATCACTTCTAAGCTATCCAATCAATACACGTGAAAAGTACTATTTACCTGTGAAGTATATACCTATTGCAGATGATTAAGATTTGACTGCCATTTAGTTGTTTCAGTGCCCCTTTGATTACATGCAGGATTAGCTCTGAAACTTTAATCAATTATGATAATTCATCTCATTGCTAGGCTAATGTCAGTAATAAGAAAGAAGTGTCATTAAAGCTCTGCAGAGGTTTACTGGAGGAGATTGTTACTCTTAATTCCTTGTTCCATTCAACACACAAACAAAATGTGAATTGAAAATGTAAAAATACCATTCTGTTCAAAGTTGGTTATAGACTTAACAATCATGAGGGTCACAGTATATTTCATATAATTTTGCACAGTTTTTTATTTTCTTCCAATCTTTAACGGGGCTAATTTGTAAATTGTATTGAATGATAAATTTTGTAATCGTTATGGCATGTATAATTTTTCACTAGGTAGGTAACTAGGTTGAAGCAGTTTGTGTTGATATACTTTCTATAGAAAATTTTACTTTATTTCTAATAAATATGTATTTTGTTACAGGAAACACAAGGTGTTCTTGTGGCTACATATGGAGACTCCTTAGACTTCCCAGCCTTCTTTACCCCAAAAAGTGGATTTAAGGTATGAAATACTATAATTGTATTTGATCTCCAAACATTTCCAAAATTTTTTCTGTAAATATTAAATGTGTGACAGTCAATATTAAGTGTTTGATTTTCAATTAACATTACGTGTAATGCTTAAGATGACCACAGTAATGACATCAATAGTATTTCCTTTGCAAATTCAGGAAGGTTGTAGTTATAGGAACTTTCTAGGCTTTTGTTAACAGAGTTGACTAGACTTGAAAGAGAAATTTGCACTGTGAGCATTTAAAGGAAACTAAATTGAAATTGAGAGTGACTAGTGTTGTACTAGTGTTGACTAGTGTTGTACTAGTGTTGACTAGTGTTGTACTAGTGTTGACTAGTGTTGTACTAGTGTGGACTAGTGCTGTCGTTTCCAACAAAACTATTCGGATCAATATCAGTATCTGGGCAACTGCCCACCTACCCCTCCCCTAACCCAACATTAACCCTAACTTGTTATCAATTGACTGTTTTGATATTGATCCAACTATTCTAGATTAGATGATTGCTTGGAATGCTATTGTTTATTCTGCATATTTTGTTTGATCTTGCATTTTGCTAACTGTATTTTTCTTCATGCTGGTTTTTACAGTCTGTTTGCAATATACAAACCCCAGAAGAGGCAGCTAAGTTAATTGGTGAGTTTTTTTTGGTCTAAGCAAAGCAGCAAGAGTTTTTTGTGAGATTCTTTGTTGAGGCTCACATAAGCTCTTACCATGGTGACCGAAACTGTCTCAGCTTCTAAGGCTATAGAGGGTCTTTTAAGAGAGCCTCGATTGTATGAGGATTTCTCATTGGTTTCTGACTACTCTGCAGATGCGAATTTATCACTAAAATCTAGCAGTGGAATAGTTTTAGCTGTCCCAATCTCCAAAAAGGAAGCCGCATCTGGGGAAATCATCGAGAAAGCTATCCAAAAGGCTTTGCAGGAAGCCAGGTATTTATCATTAGTAATGAACAAGGTAATAATGATCCTTCGTGTTAAATCAATTTTTGATTTTGTTTCATAAGTTATTGTATTTCACCATATTTTACATAGTTCTGTGTCTGTTCATCATATTGCTCCTACGGCTCCGTACACGCTTCTAGTTCTCTTAAAAAATATCAGTAGCCATATGCAATAGCCACATGCAGTATCAGATGTAGCCCTCCGGCTTGGCGTTCGGCCTCAAAATGTTGAAGATGAAGAAAAATAAGAAATTCAAGAAGGGAGACAGAAAGGGAGAGAGCGGCGGTCTTATGGTAAATGCTTATTGATTGAGTTTGTGGGAACGAACGTTTTCGGTTGTACTTGGTCTGTACGTCAGGACCTCGAGCCAAATATTTTAAATTCCTTTCCCGCCCTCCCGTTCGGTTAAGAGGTACTTATTATGGAGTACACAAATATTATGATTTTAATGTTTTTGTCGTAGTGATTCTGGTATTAAAAGTAAAGAAGTGACACCCTTTTTGCTCAAGAGAGTGAATGAACTTACGGAGGGTCAATCTCTTCAAGCCAGTATCCTTTTTCAACTTTCTCTTGTTATCTACCGTTCATTTGTTTAAATTTGTCCGAGAGAACTTATTCTTCAAAGTTTTGCTTAGATCATTACCACGAAGAAAGGTTGAGAAAATTTACTGTGAATTTCAAGGAAGAGTTTGTCAGTCATTGTCAGTTAAGCAGCTCAAAGTGAAGGTTATACCTTTATTTGCTGCGTCACTGGGCAAGGGAAATGAATAGTTCGTGCTTTATAATTTAAGATGATGTTAATCTGTGAATGACACAGGCGTACACGAAAATAAAAACACAAAAAATTCCGAGTAGTCCCAGTAGCTAGCGAACCAACGACCCTCCTATTAGTACTTCGGATGCTTTACCATTGAGCTGTGGGAGACTCGTGGTGGAAGTGTCATGGAAGTTTGTCACCATGGACTCTTTTTCCGAGTTTGCCTGGATCATTTACTGAACAACGTCATCTTCGTTATCAACCATAAGTTGTTAAAGTTTGGCAAGCGTCGTGACTAGTTTATTGAAGCTAATGTTTTAAGCGTTAGACCCAGCTGGGGTACAGCTTTTATGTGAAGTCAGCCCTGCTTCTATGCACTGATAGCTCGCTGAATAGTCAACTGCGAAGTGCCGGGATTGGTTAATTTATGAGGTGTATATCCTTAACTTTCTCTGTCAGATATGGCATTAGTAAAAAACAATGCAAAGATAGGAAGTTTAATTGCTGTTGAATTATGCAGAATACGAAAATTAAAAGAGAAGAAAGCTGTGGTAAGCTATAACAACGTGATAGCTACACTGTCATTGATTCCATTCGCTCGAGTGTCTGTTTGGTTAAGGATACTTTTCACTTACGACGGAGTCAGTGTCATAATCAGAAGCGTAGAGCGATACGATTTAGTAGAAATCAGACCAACAGAATCGGTAGAAAAATATCGGTGCTGCTCACGATTCCGTCGCCTAAGATTCAGTGGAAACTTGATTGTCGGAGTCATAAGCCTTTGGATGGCCTGAAAACTGGCATAACGATTGGTTGCCTCTTTCGCTTCTGCATGCGACGCCGGCAATCTTGCTTTCGCTGATTCATAAGCATTGGAGTCTTAAGTGGAATCGCAAGAAAATAAAACCGTTTTGATTCTCCAGGTCCGATTCTGTCTAGCTAAGTACTTCTCTATGGACTCCGACTTTCGATTTTCGCTGGGTCGGAAACACTCTTGCGACTCCGACTCCGTCGCGAGTGAAAATCAGCCTTTATAGATCATCAATGACGCCTAGATACGATTTGTGCCCAAGCCGTAGCGGCTTTTGTGATCCAGAACAGAAGAAACACAACAAAATGGAATCCACTTTTTTCCATAAATTATCGACGAACAGAAATGTAAGATGAACGATTTTGTTTGTTGCTTCACAGGAATCACAAGGCAAAGTGCCAGGCTTTCCAGATTCAACCAGAGATTGGAACCGGCAAAGGAGACCAGTGAGTCGTCAATAGTAAATATGAATAGTCAAATTTGGAAGCGAATATTGTAGAGCCACAGAATTCTGTTCACGGCAAACCAATCAGTGTCAATTTCTTGTGGATTACTTTTTAAAGTTTAATTTAGCTGGGCAATGTGAAGAAGTGTATAAGTTCAAAGAGGCCTAAGCGGTTTACAGCTAACGTTTATGTTTTGTCACAATTGACGATTAGATTAATAAGTTTTGTTCACGCCTCACCCAACGGTTAATTTTTCAGCCTTTTTGTAGCTAACAGTTAAACACCATTAAGACCCACTATTTCAGAAGTGACCAGAATCAACTAAATTGAATACTTAAACTGTGATAAAACTCGAACGAAAAGACAAATGGAGAATGAATAAGCATGATTGAGTGGGATAGAAGAGAATTTGGGGGTTAATTTCAAAACTGACGTCCTGACCTTTTTAGTTTTATCTTTGTAAGTATGAAAACGCTGTAATAACACTTGAACTGAAATGATCTTGCTTAGTTACTTTGCATTCAAAAGCTCTGTTTTCTACAAAGGTGACAATCTATTTGGCCTCGTCTGTTCAAAATTTGTCACTCGTCACTGGTTGATATTTCTTCTTTCCTTTTTTTTTTTTTTTCTTTTCTTTGTCACGTCCCTTTCTAGGTTGTGATCGGTGGATCCAATGTAGATTTTATCGCGACGGCAGAAAGCATTGTGGTAAGCACGGTAATAAATTCAAACCATATATCAACAAGATATATTTAAATTTACACAAACCAACAGGCAAAAAGATTTTTAAACTCTTTTCACCCTGACATCGGTATCCATATTCTCCTTACTGTTCTCAATGAATTTCCTACGGTTCTGACAAGAAGGATTTGTTCAGCAATGAAGAGGTTCTTTAGTTGGTGATCATTTCCTTTATTCTCGTGACCTCAATGTCTGATTCAGTGGTGATAATGTAACGAGAAATTAGATGCTAGTCACTCGTAGGTGTCATGGGGTTAAATGTGCCATCCCTTAAGTTTTAAGGGTTTTTGCAGGTGTATGAATGAACTGTTTATGTTTCTGGACTGGATTTAAATCGCATAGTAACACATCTTCTTTACACAGCTTGAAGCGTCTAATCCTGGAAAAGTAAGGATGAGTTTCGGTGGAGTTGGAAGAAATATGGCAGGTATTCCTTTGTTTTACGTAATAGTAGTACCAGTCACCTTTGTAGGCGTTTTGTGGGATGTCACGCAACGCTCCCCATTAAAAGGAAGTTAGGGGAGGGATCGTAACTTGGCATCTCAATGTTATAGATAAGTTCGGATGCATTGAAGTTCCCTTCCACAATTGAGAATGACAAGTAAACAGAAGCCTGCTCTTTGAAGAATTCAGTTTAAAACTGCTATACACACCTGCCTCGATACAAGATCTAATTTTTCATTCTCTCTTCCAGCCTTTACACAAATCCTGGCTAAAAAGTTAAGCGAATTTGATGTTAGATCAAGAAAGCATTTTTTTCCTTGATAAGATTGGGTATTCTCATTCGCCCTTTGCTGGATAGTGTATGTATATTAAGAGGGAAGAAGTTTCATGTTAATCACTTCTGGGAGTTAAAGAGTTAATGAGTTCGTTAATTCCGCTCTTCGTAACTCTGCCTTACTCACCCCGGTGTTATGTTGACTGAGGCCTATTTTGCACGTTTTAGATTAACGTTTAGCGTGCAATGTATTTGTAATCGTCCAAGATATAACAGTGTAAAGGTTGGTTGCCTTTTAATCTTAAGATTGAATTCCAACATTAAAAATCCTATTGTGATGGTTTTTGTTTGTTTGTTTGTTTGTTTGTTGTTTTCTGCATCAAAGCTGCAGTTAAAACGGTGAAATATAGTTTGCTCTTCAATTCAACAGAATGCCTGGCTCGTCTTGGCATGAGGCCGTTGTTCGTGTCATCCATAGGAAGCGATCCTCTGGGAGCTATGCTGCTAAAGCACTGTGAAGAAGCTAGAATGGTACATCTCTTTTGGGTCATGAAAGCAAGAGTTTTCTTTGTTCCAGGCTCGTGACAAGACGGCTCCCTTAAAATATTGGATTTATTCGTAGAACAGATCGACGTGGGAATGAAGTTTCTATAGCAATAAGACTACATCTGAACACTGGGACAGTAGCAAAGAAATTATTAGAAATTGCTTTTCCCCATTCCCTCTTCCCACCGTCCACTTTAATTCTACATCAAACATACCTGGTTGACTAAACCATCGTGAGCTTGTGACGTTAGCTTGAGACAATGTTGCGCTGACTGTGCTATACTTAGAAAAATTAGGTCATACCAATTAACAACCCTTCCCCTCAAGTTACGTGCATGCTATTACTTCCCTGTAAGCAATTTATTGTTTTTAAATTGTTCTTTGGTTCTTAGGTTACACGTGGCATATACACCTCTAAGGTGAATCACACTGGTACGTACTCGGCGATACTGAGTCAAAATGACGACTTTCACGCGGCAGTTGGTGACATGGACATTCATAAAGTTATCAGTCCTGATCATGTAAGATACTGTTGGTTGAACTATAGTGAGGACTATAGATTTCTTCATTACTTCCATTACGTCTGCCCCTCAGATGTGACTAGTTATTTTACCCACAACCGTGGACTTATGCAAGGGCAGAACCAGAAATATTTGATAGGGAAGAGGAGTCCAAACAATTTTTTTTCTAATGCTTTAACGTTAGTAGGCTACTAATTTTTCAAAATAAGTAAATAATGAATACTTGATATTTAGTAGTAACGTAGAAACGTAGTAAGGGTTCGCCAATGTGAAGTTGTGGGACACCCCTGCTAAGAACTTAAAGATAAAGGGTTCTTTTTGCCTTTAAATAATTTTATCCTCACCCCCCCCCTTTCCCACGGCACCTCCTCCCCCCCATGTTGATTTCAACTTTTTTTTATTATTACTTTTGCTGAAGGGCGGAATGGGTTTATCATATTTTTTCAACACCGAAATCAAGATATTTAGAGGTATGAAGAATGAACCTTTTGAGCGTGTCTTTCGAAGGTTTCCCCATGGAGGTATGGCCCCGATTGTACGTCAACTACCCAGTCCTATGTGGGCAGGTTAAGTTACTCCTCAGATAAGCAAGTAATTTCAGCATGTTCTTAAACGCTTTCTTTATTTTTTGAACATATTTGTTAGATTGCAGCCTTCGAGGAACCCATTAAACATGCACCTTTGGTAATGCTGGATGGCAATATTACTGAAGAAGCTATTGATCATGCGTGTTACTTCTGTGCAGCTAACCACATACCAGGTACCACATTGCTAAGGCTGAGTATAGAGTACGATTTAATGAATTCGATTTACCAATAAACGTGGCGGTCATGAATTAATAGTCGACATGTGTTGTAGATGGAGGGTGAAGATTTAATGTAAAATCTTAGATTGACGGTGAGTTAGTAACTAGCCAGGTGACGACATTACTAAAAAAAAGCTGTTGGTCAGGCGCGTCACCCCTGTGCAGCTAACCACACACCAGGTACCACAATGCTAATGCTGAGTGTAGAGATTGGTTTAATGACTTTGGTCTTCTACTAAATTGTGACCGTCATGAAAGAATAAACGACATGTACTGTAGATAAAAGGTGAAGATGTAGTGTGGGATCTTAGATTGACGGTAAGCTAATCTCAGTTATTTGTAGTTAGCTGTTTTTTGAAAGTGCATGTACAGTGGATGTCATGGATATTTCAAGGATAGCAGATAACGGACTGATTCCTTCCCTGTCATTTCCCTGAAAACCCTCCTGATACAGAACTTGTAAAACCGCTTCTTTATTAATTGCTTTGTTATTTAGTGTGGTTTGAACCAACGTGCATCATGAAAGCCGAGAAACCCTTTCGTAGTGACGCGTGGCACAACATAACATACATATCACCTAATCTAAAAGAGCTTCGAACCATGAGCTCTGCCATAATGAACGACGAACTACAGAAATCAAATCTTCCACCACACATCACAAAGGATGATAAAGAGAAAGATCGACCACTAGAAGATATTATAACCGAGAGTTTGCACCTTTGCAAGCCACTTTTAAAGCATATTCATTGCATCATCGTGACACTTGGCAAGCATGGTGCCTTAATCTGTAGAGACACTTCCGCTGACACTCCATTTCCAACGGCTCACCACATGAGTCGGGTATCTGCGGCGCGGCAACACAGTTTGGTGTCAGCGCAGTATTTTCCCGCCGTAGGCCCAGGAAGTCATGTGCCAGGGGGAAACGTCACTGGTGCAGGTGACAGGTGAGATTGGATGATTGATCTTGGGGGGAAACAGAATTTATAGACAGAGAGGAGAAGGAGAGCCGCCTTCCCCTGTATTTCATATTATTTAGCAACTTTATTTCGTTCATGGTCATTCCCTTGAAATGAGAAACTGCTGAGATTTAATTGAAAAATAGAATTCTGAGATAAAAGCAAAGATGCTTGTAGCCTGCGAGTAGCCGTACCCACCCCTCTCAAGGTGAAATGGAAGGTATCCGTTTCACCTTGGGGTGGATGGTACGGCTACTCGTAGGCTAGGATGCCTGTTGTAATCTCGTAGAGGTAGCATCACCTAAAAGAAAACGTTGCCATTTTTTTCTGGGTGTGCGTGCTTATCTCATGCGGATGCACATTGTATTACTAAGAAAGGCGCACAAACAGCACGTGAAATTTAAAAACATGGAATTTATGGATACGGTCGTAGGCCATTTTACGACCTAGGTATTTGGTGCCCAAGAAAAATGCCGTTGAATAAAGACTCATTGAATATGTCCACTGACCAGTCGATGTTGTTTTTATGTTTCAGTTTTGCAGCAGCAATGGCTTCGTGTATTATTCAAGGACACTCTCCGGTCATCTGTGTAAAGGCTGGTATATTAGCAGCCCAATATTCTCTGCAATCGCAAGATGCAATTTCTCCGGCTGTTTTCCCAGAGAACTTTACCCCTGAAAATGTTGAATCCTGTATACCATGGGACGCGAATGATATAAATATGGACATTTTTTAGCATTCACTTAATTGGTGAACATTTTGGGGTTTGCACGTTACTGGAATACGTCCTGAACGTTTCTTGTGTACATGCATGCGTGCGCGAAATTGATTGATGTCTCGTAAAACTAGTTTGACTGGTTGGTCGAAGGACAGTGGTCCTGTTCTGAATGACTACTTAATTGGCTTCAGAGCTTGGATTATTTTAAAATAGCTGTTGTCAGTAAATCACTTTCTTGACTTGTGTGTTTTGCGTGACGTGCGAGATTTGCGTGACGCTGATACTGAATGACGTGAAGTGGTGTTACATTTTATCACAGAAGTCAGTGATCTTCCCTTGCACTGTTATGAAATGCCAGTGAAATTCGCTCAACGACAGACGTGGACTAACGGAAACTCTCAGAGATATGGAAGTACCACATAATTCGAATGTGGGGAAAATAATTTAAGAAACCATTTTCAAGGAAGTTATGAAGTGTTTCTTACGCGAATCGTAATCTAAAGTTTTGAAACATCTTATCACCTCTTCATCACCTAAATGGAGATTAAGCTAGGATTTTACTTAAAGTAAGGTGCGAGTCTCGTTTACAGTCAGATTGTTTGATGGTCAGATCTTTTCCAATAGATCGTCAGACACTATAGTTAGATCTTCATTGGATCGTTTCTACTTCTTACTTTCAGCGCTATAAGTTTGTGCCATCATTCCCGTTACCTTGTAATACTAAAAAGTGTTTGCTTTTACCCTAATGATTCGATTAATTCCCCTTGTTCCAACAAGCGCCCTCCTCGAATTCGTCTTTGTGAATGAGCGCCCCTTCACCACTAAGCGCCCCTATTGAGTCATTCATGGTAATATACCTTGGAATCGTCGAAGCAAACAGTTTAAGTAGACAATTAACCTTGCAATCCTCAGCGACCACACATCAGCTTCATTAGCAGGTGGGTGCAAAGGAAGAAAATTCTAATTACGGAGTTCGGAGTTAAGAACCTCTCTTAGCATTCATTGCGCAAAGATGGGGGCGAGTTTACAAAATGCAGTGTCGCCGTGTCAAAAAAGCCAATTGTTCTTTCTCCCCTCTGTGCCGCTGTCACTGGAGTCTGGGCTTTTGCTATTTTTAGTTTCCTATACATTTTTGCGTCCCTAATGCATTTTTATCTTTTTCTTGCCATTGTGCCTATTTTGCATTCCGTTCCAACATTATTGTTTCACTGCACATTGTATTTCTATACCACGCGCCGTGTTGATATCGCTCTGTCGTAGCGCCTTTGTGTACTTGTTGTTCCTCGGTGTTCTTGTTTCAAAATTTTAGTCTTAAACAGTGTAACTGCGTTCGTGCACATCTGTTAATCTTCACTGTCATCCTGTTTCCGTTCAAATGTTCAGCCGTATAATGATGACCCTCTGCCATTGTAACCCCGCTCGGTGCTTCTGTCAGATCCTGGTGTGTTTCACTGAATCACTGTGCCATATTTCCGGTTTTGTGTGGTGCCAGTATCATACTTTGTCCCAATGTAACCACAGGCGGTCCAAGCTCACGTCTCGAGAAAAAGCCAACGATTAATTCATAAAAGCATAACGCGTTGTGTGACTCGGTGTTTAGTAAGGGGAGGAACCGTTGAAAATTTTAGCACGATTTTCAACGATAAGTATTCCAAAATATGAACAGTTTACGCGTAAAATCAGTAAAACTTACTCACACACAGTGTGTCCGTTGTAGTTTCTGACGATTTCTGCCATTTTAAGTGTACTTTTCCATCACTGTTATTCCTGTCAAAAGACGTCTTTTGATAGTGATGACAGTGGTGGAAAAGCACGCTTAAAACAGTAGAAATCGCCAGAAACTACGACGGACACACAGTATGTGAGTAATTTGTATTGATTTTGCGCGTAAATATTCATAATTTATATATTTGTCGTTGTAAATCGACCATATTTCGTTCCCCATACTATTCCTTGCAACGTGTTCAAATTCTCAACGGTTCCTCTCGTGACTTAACACCGAGCCACACAGCGCGTGACGCTTTCATAAATTAATCGTTGGCTTTTTCTCGAGACGTGGACTTGGACCGCCTGTAATGTAACCATATTCTGAACAGACGTTTTTCAATGATACCAAAGTGTCTAAAGAAGAGTATCAGTTAGCAAGGTTTGCATAATCCACAACCTATTTCCGATAAACTCTCCTAAAGTTTCTTTTTAGGGTCCCACAGCATCCCCAAACTCATAGCCCGCGAGATGGTTCAAGCTGCTTTAAACGGAAGATACAAAGACTTGTTGCTCTTCGAGAAGGTTTGCGTTCACAGAATGTTTTTCTCTTTCAGAACTTTCTCTTGTCCAAGAGAGCCGTGATTGTACCGAAGTAACTGAACGATGTCTTAAAAATGATTGCCTCGAAGCCAGATTCGTGCGATTATTCGACTTGAAAAGGATATTTATTAAAGCTCGCGAAAAGTCGCGCTTAAAAAACGTGTAAAGAAGTGGATTGACGACAGATGTGATATATCGAACAAAGGCAAATACCTCGGCGGCTTTGGCGATTGGTGGCGTCAACTCGATCCTGATCCTCAGATAACCTTTGATGTTTAAAACCATCATAATAGTAAAGTAAGGCAGCCAACAAATTGCAAATATTGCCGCCATTAACGCGAAAACTAAGATGCACTTTCTATCACTGGTGCGCCTCCTTCTCTGTCTTGATGTAACTCCTCTGTGCGATGAAGATGGTCTTCTTTTGCTAGTGATCGCTTTGAACATGACTATATAGGCATAAATCATGAATGTATATGGAATAACAAAGACCAATACAAGACAAACTATAGAATAGATTGCGAAACACAGAGGAAGTGACTGACTGTTTTTCCAAATCAACGGGGTGATGCCAATTAATGTAGACAAGATCCAAATCACAGCTAACACCTTAAAGACCATCTTCTTGGTTACGAGATAGTGTCTTAATGGCCTGATGATCGCTGAATACTTTTCTGCAGTGATGATGAAGAGATGGTATGCGGCTGACACAGCCGTAAGAGTATGCACAATGAACAACCAGTAGTTAAAGTCCGCTCGCATGCTGGGTGGAACAACTGGGAAATGAAAGATGACGAAGTATGGAATATTGACAGCGCCTGTTAAGAAATCGCAAATCGCCAAACCAAGCAGTAAGTAATTGGATGAGGTTCGAAGACACTTCTTTCTACAAAACAAGACGAACACCAGTCCGTTGCACAAAATAATGGCTATGGCTATTGGAAGAAGTCTGCTCAACACAGTCATTCCAACGTTTGACTCCGGAGAAGACTGATCTGAAGCTGTGCTGTTACTCATGTCTAGCAGGCGTCGCAATCGATACTGAAAAGAGACAATAGCGTCTGCATCAAGGAGAAAGC